GATTGATGAAAACAATATAATTAAAGAAGCTCAGGCTGGTTTTAGAAAAAAATATTCATCAATCGATAACATATTCACATTAACGAGCCTAATTAAATTAAAATTACAAAAGAAAAGGGAAAAAGTTTATGCGTTTTTTGTAGATTTTTCTACAGCATTTGATAGTGTGGATCGTTATAGTCTAATTTATAAATTATATCAGCTAGGATTTTCATCTAAATTAATTAATTCAATTAAAAGTTTGCTTAGTGATACTAATGCTTCAGTTTGGGGTTTGGATGGTTTAGTATGGGTGTAAGAAAAGATCGGGTGTAAAAAAAGGTTGTTTGCTTAGTCCGATTCTATTTTCATTATATATAAATGACTTGGAAGAAAATTTAGATGGTGGTATTAGTGTAGAGGAAAATACGATTTATGAGGAAAATACATAAATGCAATACAATTTGTGTAACTGTAAAATTAAATATCCTGCTTTTGCGGATGATATTGTTCTGCTATCTTCACATCCAGCGACATTACAGAGTAATATAAATTCCCTAGACGAATACTGTAAAAAATGGAATCTGAGAATAAATCTCGAAAAATCTAAAATGATGATCTTTCGCAATGGCGGTAAGCCATCACCTAAAGAAAAATGGTTCATGAGCTACAAAAGTATAGTAGTACAACAGTACAAATACTTAGGAATGATTCTCAAGCCTACTCTCTCAATGTCCAAACACCTGGCAGAAAAACTGGAGAAAGGCAAGGTGGGTTTGAATTTAATTTGGCACCAGTTTATCGAAAACAAAGACACAGCTCTAACCAAAAAATTACAAGTATTTTATTTCATTAGTAGGGCAGTGATGTGCTATGGAGTACAAATTTGGGGCGGGGTAAGTTATGAAGCCGTGGAAAGACTACTAGGATTCTTTCTTAAAAAATTATTTAAATTACCAAAATATATTCCAACACACTTTATTCACTTTGAGATTAAAATAGATCCGTTATTTATCTTCACAATTAAACTCAATTTTGATTATATTAATATTACATCTAACTGTGATGATGTTATGTTATGTTATGATGTTAAACTATGGAGAGCTAATTTATATTTATTAATAACTCAAATTCAGAAAGACATATATTATAATCAATATGTAATTAAAGTTCAGAATTCTAAAACTTTCATTTTTTATCTATATTCTAAAACAGCTGTTAAAACTTTAAACCAAAAAGCTTTAATAAAAATTGGGAAACTTTTCTCGCGTCCGTACATTGTACACGTGCCCTCCGGTTATAACTAAATGAGCAATATTGTCGCCGCGAAGACAGTTTAACATCATAGAATCCACAAAAATTTGAATCCATCAAAATTAAGGAAACCAAAAGGTCCAGTCAACACACAGCTTAAGGCTATGTCGCCTAACTGCTGAAAAATTCACAGAATGGAAGACGATTATTACAAAGGAGGATGCTGACTTATATGGGATCGTAGAAGTCGGCTCATCCACTGAAAATATCTAGTTCTACCAATTACCGGGATATCAAACCTATAAACTTTAGAGATCCAGGCAGGTTGCATCAGGTCGCTGCTAAATCGTCCCTCAAGGTAACCTTTTCAATTAAAAAGAAGATGGAAGAGAATGATAAATTGAGGCTGTACAGTTAGTTAGATGTATGAAAAAGGATTCATGGCGGAGTTGTATTGGGCTGCCAGGAGCCGAATGGCCTAATAGCCAACGGCAGAGGCGTTTAAAAAAAAAAACTTTTTATCCTCATTTAACTTCAGTAAATTATATTGATGACAAAAGCTCATTGAAGGTGATCAGATGGGTAATTAAAATTAGAGCTGATGTTTTGAACTTAAATCATTAACACTTCCAGCAAACAAATAATAATTGTAGCATGTGTAATATAAACAAAACAGAAGATCTCTATCACTTCCTGGCTGCTTGTCCGTTACTCTCTGAATTTAGAATTAAATGTTTAAAGTCTAGAAATTCATCTCGGGATCAAGTAATTGATTTATTAAATGGAAACAATTGGATAGCATTGGTAAATTACTGCAAGTCTGCTTTCTTCTATAGAATAATGCTCACCATAGAATTTAACAATTAACAAATTGGAGAATTTTGGTACCACTGTTTTTGTAATTATAATATTTTTATAACTTTTGCATTGTAAATATAATTGTTCTTATTTTCCTATTAATTATTTGTATATAAATAGACTGAAATATAATTTTGTTATGAAACACAGACTCCTCTGACGGTCAAAAGACCATGTAGCACGACTGATTTTCGGTTTTAAATCCAAAAATATTATTTTGTATTGTTTTGTAATTTTGATAAATAAAAAGACTTTTCCTTCTCTTTTCTTCTTCTCTTCAATCTTTAAAATAATTCTGGCATAATCTTTTTATTCAGTAGAATATTTTCAAAGTAAGAAAAGTACCTTAAAGATAACTAGATTAAGTTTTTACATATTGTTCTATTAAAACCTATGTTCTGTAATATCATGAAAGGAAAGGACTACAGATAATGAATGACTTCTAGAACTAGCAGCCACTTATTATCAAGTCTCTTGTGTTTTAGTGCGGAATGATATGGGGCGGTGGGACCATTGTCTAAGCGAGGCGACAGGAATTATCACTAGAACGAACGAACTCAAACATCTTTCTTCTTGACTTCATTGCTTAAATTCCAGTTTGGTGAATCTGCTAAATATTAACTACATATAAATCAAGTAAGGGAATGCATTTTTTTACAGTAGTCGTCAGAATTAGACCAAATTTATAACTATTCCATCATTTTCCACAATCTTTTACTTCCCTATAACGCTGCGTCAAATCGAGATTTGATTTAAAATAGAAGCGTATCTAGGAAAGCACTTTTGCGCACATGACTGAAAAAATAGCAGAGAGAATGCGATAATGTTGATATGGCGTCGTTTTTTCATAAATTCAACTTCAAACCAAATTGAACGAATCGTTTTTGAAATATTGGCATTTCTATGAAAATCATTTTACGCACGAGTATACGAAAGTGATGGATGAAATTAGATAAAATTCATATGGGATACCAAAATCGTATCTCTCTTAAAAATTCTTGAAAAACGGATTGATTAGGTGATATGCTGGTAACAAGGATTTTACTACAGAACGGAACCAGCTTTGATCATTGATGTTTAAAACACAAAACGCGAGCGAAAATTTGCGATTCTAAGATAAAAAAAATGTATCCTCCCAAAGCAATGCTTCTCTACCTTGGATAGTGGGGAAGTAAAAAAAAAATTGTGCAAAATCTTCAAAACTTAGTTCCTGGTTTCTGTTCCTTACTTACGGTTCTTTAGGGATGCAAAACGTGGTCACTTACATTAATGGATGAAGAATGCCTTTAAGTTTTATGAAAATAATGTATTGAGCAAAATATTTCGTTCAAAGAAGGGCAAGTCAATAGGAGAAAGAACTTCAGTGACTATATGATGCCGAATTGCATAAAAATTTACTGGGCACTGAAACCCAGCCTCATCCTACATAATGCTGATTATATATTGCATGATTATATAAAGATATTAAGTAATTATTATATATGGTCACTAGCGGATCCAGGATTTAGTTTTTGGGGAAGCTTCAGCCCGAAAGATTTTTTTTTTTAAATATATAATGATAAATACCTAGGAAGAAAAAGAAAGGAACTAAGTACCTATATGAAATAGAAACAGTGATTATTTGAGTATTATTAAATGTAATTATACAAACAATAATATTTTTAGAGGTAATTATTAAATTTTTTTTTCATAAGACATGATTATATTTTACCATTTTTTGGAGGAGAGAGAGGGAAGGCTTCAGCTGGAAACCCTCTTCCTAGAACCATCCATGACATATTTAAAATTTTGTTATAAAAATTTTAGAAGGTAAAAAAAAACAAGTGATTTGGGCTAGACCCCTCCTGAGGCCAAGAAACCAGAGCTGCAGGCCTGGCTGATTCTCACACCCCTCCACCGGCCTGGATTGTATAAATGTTGATCTTGTGGAGTTGGGTTTGGTCAGTAAGTTGGTGGATGGAAGTAAAATGACATCAAACCTTCAGATTCGCTAACCCTTTATTATTATTATTGATTGATCCTTAACTAACACATAATATTTTCATAAAATGGTTAGATTAGATTAGATGATAAAATGATTTAATTAGTAAGAAAATAAATGGGGCATTTGAATTTCCCCATAAGTAATATTTGTTAATTACAATTTTTTTATCAGATAATCATTAGTAAAGAAAAGGTGGCAACTCCGTTACAGATGGAAACTTTTTAATACAAAATAGGTTATACTTAAATCATTATGAAATAATAATTAAATTAAATGTGCAAAACAATGAACTATGCTCATACAGCCAATAAATTTCTCATTTAACGATATTTAGCAAAAACAAAAAGAAAATATGTAAATACTTTAATATCACACTCGCTTATTGATGTACTATAATCTTAAGACGAAACAGTACTACACAATGACTACATTTTCAATGACCTGTTTCTTCATTTTTTATAATGGGTTCTTGCCATTATTTTTCTATTTTGTGACTTTAGTGGTTAGGGATTATTTTCAAGAATGGTTGGAGTATTTTTATTTTCCACTGCCATTTTAGTTCAACTGCCTAATACCATAATACTCTACACTTTTTGTTTTGATTTTTTATTTAACAGGCAACATATTAATTCTAACAACTACTGTTATATTCATGTAGCTGAGCATATCCATTTATGATTCCATATATATATACGAATTTGTGTCTACATAAACAGGTATATGTTTGACAATTAAATATATACACTCAGAAATTTTCCATTAAGAAGAACATGTTTCTCCTACTCTAATTTTAAAGCATTGTTAAATTTAATCAGAAATTTTTATTGTTTCAGTTAACAATCTTGAATATAATTAATTGACTTTCCTGAAAGCTTATTAAAAATTTGAAAAAAAAACAGATAGGAACCATAGTAAACAAACACACTTTCATCACTCTTACATACTTTATTGACTAAAAGATTTTTACATTCTCTTCTCTTACAGGAAGAGAAAAATAAATAATAAATTGGGAGTCAAATAATGGATAAGACTTTTAAATTTATAATTTATATGAGCTAAAAATATTATACATTAGGGAGATTCTTGTGTAATACTTGTTTACAATTTTACACATAATCAATTTTTTACATAAAACAATAATAAATTATTTACATCTTATTCAGACCACTTGTGGTTAGCCAACATTATGAGATCAATCCTTCAGTATTATCAAAATCATTTCAAATAATACACTACTTATAAAAAAATCAAATTATTAAATTCTGAAGCTCAATTCTGTTGCCATAGTATACATTAACAATATCCATCTAGTTGCATGTTCTAACTTAACATTATATATATACATAAATTACATTTAATTTGAAAAAAACAAAAAAACATGGTAACATGACTTTAATGCTGAAATGGCATTTGTTCTCTGAGGAAAGTTACCCAAAACTGAGGTTTTTTTGGCTTCTTAAAGAATTTCAAAACTTTCTGTAGAATAATCTGGTATGTAATCACCATGTTTGGGTTTCACTTTGTCTCTGTAAGGAAGTGAAGACCAAAAATCTATTCTGTCAGATAAAACGGGTCCTTGAGAAAAATTCTCTGATATTACCATATAACCACCATCATCCAACTGATACCATTCCAACCCATCCATGAAAGGCCGCCTAGATCAAACAAAACAAAATTAATGATTAAAGATAAATTAAGTATTTAAAATCTCTTATGGCCAAAAAAAAACAAAAAAAAAAAACAGAATTATGAATAACAACTGTTTTAGACTCCATAAGAAAAAAAACTTAATATCAGAATGAAATAATTTTTTCAAAGAAAGTTTTTGTTTTTGTTGTTAAAATTTTCATTTTAAATCTTTAAAGAATTTTTTTTTTATTTGTTTACTTAGCCTCTACTCCCTAAGGGTCATTAGTTTAATGTTTCCATTTTGTATTCGTTGATAAAAGTGAATATCCTTTAAATATTTGAATAGTTTTCCTATTTCATTTTCCTCATCTTGCAGAATTTCTTTTATTTCGCTTGAAATTGCTATTGAATGAAACTGTTTGGGGATCAAATAAGATGTCTCGTAAGGGGTGTCATGGAAGTGACATTATTTTGGCTATATATTTTGCAATCATAAATGCTCCTCTTGTCTCAAGGGATGGTTCGGCACATTCTGCATATAGACTCTCAATCGGCGATGTTCTATAAGCTCCTGAGCATATCCTCAATGCAGCATTATGGATCGGGTCAAGAATTCTTAAAATACTTCTTTTTGAGGTTCCATATGCACATGCTCCATAATCTATTTTGCTTCGGATCATTGCTTTGTATACCTATAATAGACTGCTTCTGTCAGCTCACCAACTAGAATACAAAAGACACTTTAGGAGGCCAAAGTCTTCATAAACATTCTTGTTTAAGACCTTTAATGTGATCAGTCCAGTCCACTTTAAGCTTTTATTTATCTAGATGGATTCCAAGATATTTTTGGTGATCTTCAAACAGGATGTCGGCCATCCCTAATTTTAGTTTAGGATTCGTAGTGCATCCTTTTATTCTGCATATATGAATGGCCTTTGTTTTATTTATCGAAAAATTAAAACCGCTATTTCATGCCCATTTTTCTGCTTTTCTCAGTGCTTTCTGTAGTTTCCACTCAATAAAATAGAGAGATTTACTATGAACTAATAGTAATACATCATCGGCAAACATAATGATTTTAATTGGCCATTTGAAATTCGGTGGTAGATCATTCATAGGAATCAAAAACAAAGTTACACTTAGAGGTGAACCTTGGGGCATGCCATTTTGAGAAACGTGAATTAACGACAAGGAGGACCCAACTCTGTCTTGATATTTTCTTTCTTTAAGAAAGTTTTCAATTTTCCCTGGACACAATTATTATTTAAGATTTGCACTACGCGGACTCTTAACATGGTATTATAAGCCTTTTGCAAGTCCAAGAAGACAGCAACAAAATGTTCTTTTTGTGAGAATGCTTCTTCTGCTAGAGGAATAGAGGAAACAAATTCTCTCCACGATGACTTCTTACTATCTTCAATAGTTTTATTTGTGATTGCTCGAAGTCTCTTAAATTCAACTGCGTCATTCAAACTCCCACTTCTTTTGTACCTTTTGAAAGCCCACTTTTTTGCTTTCACTGCTTCCTGACATCTTTCGTTCCACCATGGAACTCTTTTCTTAAGGTGACCATTACTTGTGATTGGAATGTTGTTGTAGGCTGCTTGCAGAACAATATTATTCAAATTCGCTACCTGAAGATCTACGTTATTATATTAGCTGCTCATTCTAGATTATCCTTGCCCAATATAATTGATTTCTGAAAAGATTCCGAATCAGCTGCCTCATACTTCCTGTGTCGCTTTATATTTTGTGGAAGAGACGGCCCTTTGACCTGAATAACGATGGGGAAATGATCGCTTCCATATAAGTGGGTTTTAGTTCTCCAGATGCATTCTGGGGCCTGACGTCCGCGATGCTTAAGTAATAGCAGAGAGACTATTACTTATTACTTCCTGAGCTGAAGTGGGTAAATGAACCAGTATTAAGATGAGTAGCAGTGCTACTAAACTCAAAAAGTTTAATAACGCTGTGTCCTCTATGCCCAATGTCTGCTAGTGGGAGCCCCAAAGTAAACTATTTGCGTTAAAATCCCCCAGAAGAAGATACGGCCTTGGTAGCTGATTAACAATGTGTTTAATGTCATCCTTTGAGAAACCGATAGCGGATGGTATATAAATGTTGCAAATTGTCAGGGGTTCAGCTCCTTTGGTTACTGTTGCAACTGTCTCTATGTGTGTATCTAAATTCAATTATTCGGAGAACAAGTCATCCCTCACAAGGGTTAAAACACCACCCCAAAATTTTCCTGCTCCTTGTCTATCCCTTCTGTAAGCTCGATATCCTTTGACAATTAAGACATGTTTTTCATTCAAGTGGGTTTCTTGTATGAAACAGCACAGTGGGGTGTCTTCATTCATTAATTTCTGAAAAAATTCTAAATGACGAAAGAACCCATTACAATTCCACTGAACTATTTGCTCCATAGAGTTAAACATTTTTTTTATTTTTTGGGCTGAAGATCAACACTAGAAAGTGTTGAATCGTCAGAATCTGAAAATAGTTCTGTTTTTGGTCTAGAAACAGTACCACTTAGCTCTTAAATAATTTTTGAAACTCTAATCTTCATTCCTCTGTTGGGTAACTAGTGCCTACATTACATCAGTTAGCATAGTTTTCAATCCATCGATATTTTTTGTAAACTGTGTGGCAAGTTGTTTGATGTTAGTGACTTTTTCATTATGAGCCATCTCAAAAAAGAGACATCATTTTGAGTAAGCTAAGGGATATTTGTGACTAAAATAAGAATTGGTTCTAACATTTCCTTCATCGTTTGATTTTTGTTTTTCAGTTTTACCATAGGGACTAATATTTTCGTTATTTTACTACTTTTGTGTAGTATTTTTTCTTGTTTTATACTCAGTTGGAGTAGCAGACATATGTTCTGTGATTACTGTTTCTAGGTTAGTTTTATTTTTAGTGGTACTTTGTTGTGTGTTTTGGATTGTTGCACTATGTTGTGAATCTTCTGATTTAGCAGTGCATGGGTTTGCTACAGGGCCATCTTTACTCAGGATTGTAAAATTGTTATGCTGAGGGATATTTGTATCATTGTCATTTGCGATAAATGAAGTTTTTTCTCCCCTGCCCTCCATCAGCTCTTCATGGGCTTCAACCAAACTGTAAACGGCTAACGGCAAAACGGCCAAATTATTGGTCTCATCACGATTTTTAACTTCGCTGAGTGGACAATTTTTACTTATATGACCCTCCTCGTGGCAAGAAAAGCATCTGATTTCGTCACCATCTAGGAACAACCAATAAGTATCTATATTTATACGAACTTTATCACCATTATTAAAAATTGTCTCAAAACATCCATTATGCTCATAAACTAAGTCACAGTAGTTATATAACATTCAGTATTATGATAAAATATGTTTAAGAATATTGCATGGTGATTAGCATACCCAGTAGTGGCAAAGTTGGCCCAAATCTCAACTAAATGTCGAGATGTATTCTTATCAGCTTCATTGCCGATTGTTTGAATGTTAAGTTTTTCAGTATTAAATAAATAAGGAATATCGTCTCCATGACTCACACCTGTAATAAAAAAAAATTAATTAAACAGACAACAAATTTTTTAATAATAAATTATAAATATATATAGACACACACACATATATATTAATTCATATTTTTTGGGAAATAAATATTAATATACACATTAAATTATTGTTTCATGGAGATGGAAGCTTGCACGATGCTTTTATTTTTACAATTTATTAAATTTAAAATATATTTTATTTATTGGTGAATTTAAAAATAACAGCAATTAAAAAGCCATCATTGGTTTTTGTTTGAAAAATAGAAAATAAAGAACAAAACATAACTAATTTAAGAACACAAGATTTTTTTTAGCAAGGTTGCAATAGATTTATGGTTGATAAATCAAAAAATATAGGAATGATATAGGAACTTTACCAAAATCTTGCTTGCTGCCCAGAACATGCACAACATCAGATGCACCTCTGTGATCAAACATATAACCATATACTGGTCCAGTTTGCCTCAGTGCAGACTCATGGACAGGAAATATAATCCATGCATCACTAACCATCTATAACAAAGAATTATATAACGAACTTGTATTAATAAGCTTGTATTATTAAGTTTGCAGACATTAACATTTTTGGACCTTGGTGTACAAAGATATTTACACAATTTGAATTAACTTATACTTATATATTACACTTGGTAATATCAGTATCAATTTTTTGGGTTTGTAATGCTTTAGAATAAAAAAGGAAGTTATAAATGTATAAGCATTAGTTCCTGGCACTAGGAGGAGCAAAAGGCACTTTCTGTATCCTTTCACCTCCTCCCACCAAATATTTTATGAAAGGAGGCAGCCCTAAAAAATTTCACAGTAATTTATTCAAAAAGAACTAAAAAATTTGTAATAAACTGTGTAATTAATAATTGATAAATTACAAGATAATAAACTGATGACTGAACTACTTCTTTTTGTAAGGCATTCTATCTCCTTCTTCTTTCCTATGCATTAAATTCTATTATTATATTACATTAACCTTGATCTGAACAATATTTCCTAAATGCAGGAGTCTATGGATATAAATACTATAGTCATTGAAGCAAATGTAGGCCTGTTATAGAAAATTTTGTTTTACCATTTGAAGTAATTAATTAATTAATTTTGTGGTTATAATTCATATTATAAATTCTATAATAGAAATGATGAAAAATCTGTTTTTGTCAACACCATTTAAAACTGATAGGTAGCATCAGTTAATTAATCTTAATCAGTTAATCTTAAACAGAATTTTAATGTATCAACAATACATTGTTACAAAACCCAAAATTTGGTAGACAAAGGACAAATTGTTGAAAAAAAATTTAATATTATCTTTCAATTTAGGAAAATAATTAGGGTTCAGTCAATGCAATCAAAGCATCCTTAAAAGTGAAACTCCTTAAACAAGACAGAACCGAAAGAGTGATAAATCTAAAAAAAAAAAAAAAAACTGTACAAAAGGATTAGGAAAAGCAATATAAGGAAGTACTTAAAATTTTTATCTTAACTACAAACAGAGATATATTACCCTCAATAAATCTTCAAGCAACGGCACTGGAGTATAAAGTAGGCCAGTTAAGGATTTTCTATTATATTCAGCAGTTGGTTTCTCACCTCCCCTATTTATAATGTAAAAACAAAGTGGCACAGGCTGGCTTTTTAATGAAACTTATTAATGCCTTAGTTATGTTTCTTTTTTTGGTTGCATATGTTTTCAGATTGCTTCTGCACTTCGTGAGAATTAGGATCCCCACATGGGGTTGCTATACCTTCACTTGAACCCTAAGTTTGAAGGGTCTGGTACAAAGTCAGATTTTATAATTTAAGTTTTACAGCTACAGAGTTTAGCTATGTGGGTCCACCAAACCATCAACTTCGCCTCGTATCCAATTCTTACAATTCAAAGTCCTTCGCAAATTCCTCAATGCTACTTACTTCGTTACAAATGAAATTATCCATTATGACATTTATGTTTCAGATTTGGCTCAATACAGATACCTATCTTTCCATAGTAAATTTCATAACCATCTCAACTCTCTTGTTTCTAACCTTGCTTCATCTTCAATTCCTAATAACCCTCTAAAGTGTCTGAAAAGAAGATGGCCCCGTGATCTCCTACTGCAGACATATTATTAGAGTGCTATAATAAGCTACCAGTGGGTAGTTTCTCAGCAAGTGTTTCATGTTGTTATATCCATTTTACACATTTATTAGATATATTTTTTTATAAAGTTGTAAATATCATAATAAATAATAAAAAAAAAAAAAGATAGCATGTTAAAAAATGAAATATAAAATGACAATATCATATAAAATAACTACCATCATGATATTTTTACTCCCAAGCTATATATTTATTACGAAAGATACTGTAGGTAGGTATATGTTACATGGGAGAGAACAGTATAGGGATGAAAGGGCCTTGAAGAGGATATTATTTTTATCTAACCTTATTATATCTCTCTATTATATAAAAAGTCTTTAATGACTGTGGCTTTATATTTTATTTTACATATACAAAGTGGGATGGACTGTACATATGGACATAACAAAGACAACAGCGGGACAGACCATAATGAGGACACCACACTTCATATTCCCAGACTTATTTTTCCCTTATTACGATTACAAATTGGCTTATTATATAATTTTTATGATATAATAAGAATAATTATATAATAATATAAATTGGCAATAAGGATAATGTAAGTATATGTTACATGGAAAGGGGAAATACAGAGATATGGGGACACTCAAGGGGATAATATTACTATTATATAGATTTTTCAATAAATTAAAAATTTGACCTAAATAAGGTTTCGTTCTGTTTATTTTATGTTGATAAAAAATAATACAATCTGAAATACAGAATAAATGTAAAACAGTTATACACATGTGTACAGTTATACAATTTGAGCAACAAGTAGCAGAATTAAATGAAAAGTTGTATAATTTGTAAAATGGGGGATGGTCTGCTGTTAGGTGGACAGGGGATACCACCTTAGTAAAATATAATTAATGGTTTAATAGTTTTAGTTTTAAATAAATGACAAGAAAAAATACTTACATCAATCACTGGTCCTAAATTTTTGCCAGTTATATTTGTTTCACCTAGATAAAAGTTTCTGATTGCATTCGTAACAATTGAAGGTGAGGAAGCCGTGTCAGCATACATCAGCATATCAGGAGCAAATCGATCAAATGCTTGGTCCAATATAGTTATTAATAAACCTCCTCCTTGGCTGAGAACTTAATAGAATCATCTTATAAGAGCTTTGTAACAAACAAGATACAATATAAATAAAAATAACAGATATCCAGAATAAAAAAGGTACAATTCAAAAGCAACGCAAGAAATTTACCTAGTAGCTTCGTTATATTTACTGTTTATCTTATTATTCGCAGAAAACAGCTCTCAAATATTACTAAACAATAATAGCCTGGAGGGTTTCCATATAGAGCTCATTGTTTCTAAAATTAATTCTAATGAATTGTATTCCATTTATTCTGAATTTACAATATATTTTTTTATGTTACTACAAACACTAGAATGCAATGAAAGGTATTTAAAAAAATAACATAGCATTTTATAATTTAATTAATTAATCACATAGCATTTTAAAATACCCTATCTTTTGGGGAGTGAGGTAGTTCAGAGATAGGGTACTTGGCTTATGAATTTCCAATGTGAAACTATCTTGATGATGAATGGAATATCATTAAAACATGTGCAAAATGATGTGTGTGAATTGTATTTTGGAAAAGTATGAGAAGTTGATATTTATCATTTTTAACATAAAAAATAAACTAGCCCTGCAGTAGCCAATGAAGGGCCTTTAGGAGAGGCATTGGTAAGATACGGTGTTGAATAACGAACTTGGGAGACTTGTGTGTTTAGACTGAATGATTTAATGATTAATTTTTTTAAAGTCCATAAATATTTATATCTAAACTATATATAAAGTAAAGAATATATATATATATTTGCATTATATATAAATTTGTTAAAAATTAAATTAGAATAATTTCAATAAGATAACAACATTTAACTTCTCTGAGTCTTAAGGTAATCTTCGGAAATCAAAAACATAAAACAACTTAAATTAACAATGAAATTGTTTATTTTAAAAGGGGAAAAATCATTAATAATTAAATATAATACCATCTCAGTAATCCTAACTATTTCTACAGAGTGGTGATCAGATTTCAGATGGTGTTTAGAAAAATTACATAAAACAAAATCAATATATTCATGAAAATCTATTTGCTGGATATATATGTACTTACTACAAAGGTATAAAAATAAGTTTTAAATAAATCAGTTATTTTTATTTGTTATAACTTCATGGAATTTTTTCTTAGTATGATTTGACAGACCAACGGTGTCAGTCTGTCAAATCATGTCTAATCATCCTATCTAACAATAAAATTAAGATAAATATAAAAGAAATGGCTTGATGTGCTGAGAATTTAATCCAAGAACACCAGGGAAAGATTTGTTCGAATTTGAAACATTATTCTCAGTTGCCTAATAATGTGATTAAAACGAGACACTTTAACTTCATCCTTCATATTCATTACATATATATTTTATGTTTTATGTAATATATATATATATATATATATATATCAAGAAAACTCTCAGTAATTCCACAAGAAAGGGGAGATTTCATAAGAAATTTGTCTCTGGTTATCTTTGATCTTATCAAAGAGATCTTATATCTTTTTTACTTTTCTGGATAAAAGTTTTAATCCATTCATCAGTTTTTTTTTTTACATGAAGGATTATTGAAGGAAGTTCACTGAGATTGATTGGACAGTAAAACATAAGTATTATTAATACAAAACAAACCAATTGGTTGATTTTTAACCAATATGTAAATGAAAATAGAAAAATGACATACTGACGGCAACAAAAGCTCCTTCAGCTGATGTGAATCCAGTTAACATAGGAAGAGGAGTCGGCACAGTGATCCATGGATCTTCAACAATGATACCCCCTTTGGGTTCTATAACTGGCCTGAAAGGAAGAAGCTCCTGCTCCAGCAACTATAAAAAAAGAAACAGTATTAGCATCAACAATAGTAATATTGTCTCCATTTGTGTTTATTAATAGATTTTCATAGTAGAGACTAGTGCATTTCAAAAATTTGGTTTCAAACCAGCCAATACTGCTTTCACATCAGAGAGAGATCCCCCCAATGATATTCATTCGACTTTAAATTCCCAATTTTGAACTAATTATTTTTGGACTAAATTTTCCTCTCTTCTAAGATTAACCGAATTTTCACCTAATTTTAATTCCTTAAAGAAAATTGAACAGTATAAAATGTTACAAATACATTTCTTTTGAATTCCTATGTAATGGTGACCTTTATCCATTTTAAAAATTTTTTTGTTATTATATTTACATATTATGTTTTATATATATGAAGACACAGTCCAAATATAATTTATTTTTTATTAATTCTGTTGTTAAATGTTAAAATATGTTAAACATTTATGTTAAAATAACATAAACACTGTTCCACTACAACCTTTAGAGGATCTCCAAAGTCATGTGTCTTCTAAAGGAGTACTATTTCTTACACAGCATTTGGGCAAGATTTACCATCAGTCATACTCAACTGCCAGGTTTTTCTTCTTACTCAATTAAGAATACCCACTTTATAGAGGATGGGTTTGCCATGGGTAATTTATGGCTAATATAATAGGAAAAATTACCTAGCCCGACTTGAACCTTGGACTTGGAGTATAGTTTCTTACTTACTGTGCTGTCATTTTAAAATAAAATTGACACAATAATTATTAATTTAGTGAAAACTAAAACAAATAACAAAGGATAGCCACATTTAATGCTCCTCTATATACTATGTTAGTTAATAACAAAGTTTTGATACAAAGATTATAAATATAGAAAACTTTTGAAATCTCTTATGTGAAAGCATACAGAAGTATAAATAGTAACAATCATTGCTAAATAAATAAATAAATAAATAAAACTCTTACTCCAAAGTTTTTAACCGCCTCAATCAGTTTTTTACCAGGAACATCTAAAAGACAAGACATGACAGCTCTAGATGTTTTCCCTTTACAGTCTGCTAGCTGTGCCAATTTAAGAGTTTTTTCTCTTATACTTCCAGGTGTTCCAACTGCCCAGGGTGAAAGCCAACTTCCGCTTTGTGCTATTCCGCCAACCAGAAGCCCTTGTTAAAGAGACATACTATTAATTTTATGCAGATTAATCTAACTTAATGACCAGAATATAGGTCTGAAGAGACCATTATAATTTATGTTATTTCTGATAGGGCCTTTGTATGACAGCAACTAAGCAATAGCTGATTAAAGGTGCTTTTATTGTTTACCAGTCAGTCAATTATATGTGAAATATAGTCGCCTGACAGCACATTGTTCCTTTTTTTTCATGATTTATTATCATTTTTTTTTGGAATATCGGGCTGGTTTCATTGAATTTCTTATCCCTTCGCTGACAATCATAAGGTTTTTATTCATACTCAAACAAAAATTATACTTTCGCAAAATTAATTTTCTCGTTAGTTTTTTAATTATTTAAAAACATGTTCTAGGTCACTAAAGAAAAATAATATTTATAATGATTTATGGTAAAATAAAAGTGGTAAAATAAAAAATAAAATATGGCTGGATCAAATGCAATCATTCTTTATGTATTAAAAAAAAAAAAAAGATCACAAAGAACATATATTGATTTTGTGAAATCCCAACAGTATATTTCTGATGTGCTTTAGGAACTAAGAAAAATAATTTGGTTGTAGAAGTCAGTATATAAAAACAATCAAATCAAATCAAGAAGCATCTAAGTGAAAATTCCAATAATAATTCTAAAAGATTTTTTATGGCTCTCATCCATCAGTAATTTTATTATCAAAAACATATCTAAACTTAATTATGTAAATATTATTTATTTAATTGTAATGGTCCACAAAACATTGTTTTGTGGTTCATGCATATAAGCAGGTTAAGAAAGTATAGAATATATCACAGATGGTGAACATGCCTCCTCATGAGCTAGACTAGCCACCTTATTTTATTTTTCCACAGTCTTCATTAATATAGCGATAGAATTAAGTAATATTTAATTTTTTAGGTTAGAAAATTTGAAAATTAATATATTGGGAGATAAATATTCAGGACGCAGTCTTTTTTTTTAGAAAAAAAATGTTTATTAATGCCAATGTTTCAACCCAAACATTTGGGTCATCTTCAGGGCATGTTTTGAGCACTGAGGGTGTTCAAGTACTTCATTAATATAAACTAGTAGGCCCGTGTCGAAAATTCGCACCAGCAATAGTTATCAACTGCCAAATTAATAAGAAAATAAAATAATGCAACGATCAAAAGATAAATGGATCAATTAGTTACTTTATCGAGAAATATAATCGACAAAGGAAACAAAATTAATTATAAATCTTCATTAGTTTGGAACCAACTATTTACCAATTTCAATAACTGCATCTTTGCGAAAACAAGACCGATTCAATTATTATTTTTTTCCTTTTGTCAGACAAATTAAGTAATTGTTTTTATATAATCATGGAATAACCAATGAAAAGTTGTATTATTTAGTTATTCACAATAAAGATGCTTTTCATTTATAACTCTTATGCCTCATTTTCGGGATAAATCGACTATTTTGTGCCGCGCCTGAAGGGAGAAGAAGTCTTGCAAATTGGTGGCTCAATCTTGAGATTTGGTGAAGATTAACGCTGATATGGCTTGCCGATCAAAAACACCATCAATAATAAATAAACTCTCTCCTAATTCGATCATAGAGTCCTCAGTCGACGAATGAAGACATGTATGCTAATGACAAACTACAAAATAACGTCAGGTGTGTGGATCGAAACCCATGCCTTCGTCATCTCGAAATAGTACATTTTTGGCTAAAAAACGCACGGGACCGATAGTTCCGGAGGAACTACAGGGTCTTGCTAGTACGCATCAAAATCATCAAGATCCAGATTTGTCCCGTATCGATCTACAAACTAACCATCGATTCCAGGTATAAGCCTAGAAAATGTTTGTTTCGACATTAGTTTTATTTTAAGAAAGGACAAAACCAAAGTGAGAACACGATTCGCTAAAAACCCTTAAAATATTGAAATACAACGGTAACCTCCATTCATGGTAATTTCACATGACAGGAGCATATATTTGAGTACAAAACCGATTTCGAGCTTACTGTAATAATATATGTACGGATAAGTTAAATATATGTATAAGGATGTATATTTACAAATTAATAAAAATTGCTAGAGTAAAATCTAAAAAAGTATTGCAGTTCATCTAATCACAGCCTAACCTTACTGTGGCCTTTAATGATAAAAAAGTGCTGTCCCCCTCTCTCTTATTTTCATAGGTGGGGAACCTTTTTTTAATCATTAGAGGCCACAATAAGGTTAGGCATTCATAACGGTGGCTACAATATATTTTTAGATTTTATTCTAGCTATTTTTATTTATCACTAAATACATACACTCATATACATACATTTAACTTAATTCTATTAATTTCCAAATGGTCATTACTTGAATTATTAATTTTAGCACTATAGTAATAAGTATTACACCGCAAAAATGTTTGGAGGCAGTAAAAACGTCACAGGCCTCTGAGGATACAGTTTCCTACCTTGGATATAGATGGTTATTAATGCTAATCAATAATCTGAATATAAAAAAAAAATGTATGAATACTGGATAAATCATCCAGACTTATCTCCTTATTTTGGCTTTTTCTATATTTATTTTTTTCAAACATTGTTAAATAAAGGCAATAAATATTTTCAATAAAAAATAATAAAACGAAAAAATATGTTTCAACCTTGAGCGGCTGGAGCATTCATGAGAAAATAAACAGATGCAGCACCCGCACTCTGCCCTGCTGCTGTGATCCTGTCAGGATCTCCCCCAAATGCATGTATGTTACGGTGAGTCCAGTGTAAAGCTGCTAACTGGTCTTTCAGTCCCATATTTCCAGGATGAGTATCATCTTCAAGACTAGAAAATCCTTAAAACAACAAATATAAATTTTATAAGTATATCGTATGTTTAGACAAAGTTAAAAAATCCAAACATAAAAATTGAAGTTAAGTAATAATTAGTATTAATAAATCGTACCACCAACAACCCTTGAAAAACCAAATGATCAACCATTACTAATTATGGTGATGATAATTTTCAACTGTAATGTCTTATTTTTAGATAATATTAGCAATGTGCTTCAACAGCCTTTTTTTCATGTAATTATAAATTAAACACAGCAAGTTATTTGCATTTTCTGAAAAGTATCTACAAAATGGGTTCATGTTTTAAAAATTTGTTTAACTTAAATTTTAATTTGTTATTGATATAGCTGTTATATATGTGTTTTATAACCCAAGGGAGATTATTCATGCATAATCAAATTAAAATAATAACCTAAAGGACCAAGCCTGTAGTTAATGGTTACAAGAACGACATCCTTATCCAGCATTGCTCCAGGGCCGTACATGGAGGAAGACCCAGAACCCCATTTCCAGCTTCCACCGTGTATCCAAAATAAAACTGGGTATGTTCCATTGGAAATCTATTAAAAACACAATTAATTAGTGCAATTTGTAAGTTATGAATACTTCTAAATTTAATAATAATAATCTATTTATAATAACAATAAAGTTCCCGAAATTTAGATGTTTTAAGCATAATGTTACTATGGGTGCTCATTAATTTTCATCCATAGAACTCAGTGGAAATTAAAACAGCTAGGCTCAACATTATATTATCATTTACCACTCCATTACCACTTGAGGGTATTTCTTAATATTCTCAGCTCTTAATAAATTCTTAATTACCCATCCATACAACATCCCAATAAGTAATAAATCAAATTGAATTTCTCATTACCTATCAGCACAGTTTACAAATCCATATAATATATAGATGTGTTTATATACGTTTTTACTTTATTGTTAAAACTTTCAATGCCTTTTTAAAAAATTAACAAAATCAATCATAACAGTATGAAATTCTGCTATTTTTGTCTGTATTTTCATAATTGATAATGACTTGTATGTAAAAACAGTTTCCTAGAATGATAAACCATAGTCAGCTCAAAGTCATTAAATGGAAAACTAAGCTCACTAATTGCAAGGTGGTCACAAATCCAATTATAGATAATGCTTAACTTAAGCACCCATAGTTACTGCTTCAGCGTGCTTGGATATCCCTTTATACAATCAAAATTTTAAATTATATGAAACCTTACACACTATTTTCTTGGGTCAATGACTAAACAACAGAAAGCGAGTTCAAAAATTTATTAATCTAGTTGAAAAGTTTAAAATTAAATTCTATAAAAACTGTAATATAACTTCTATACAATCGGATTAGTTTAGGCAATAATGAATTATTATTTAATTTATTGATTGTCAATTGTTTTGAAAAAATGATCTCCCAGATATCTGGACTACAATATTAATTTTTCTGATAATATAAACTAACACTTTATTAACTAGTATAATTTATAAATTTGTAGTCCGTTTAAGAAAAGTTTGCCAGTGGAAAGAGGGAGAGATAGGTGGTGCGCAATCGAAAAATGTTTTCCCACCGATCCCAGACTCTTTTATACTTACTTATTCAAACTTACTTCTAGAATTGTTTTTACAAAGTGAAATTTCTTTTATGAAATTAGAATTTATCCTAGACACACTATATAAAAAGTGAAATTAAATAGAGAAGATAAAGAATGAAAAATGGAGAAACAAAGTATTAGTGGTAGAAGTGTAAAGTTATTAGTCAGTATTCTTTAATTTTGTATTTCATCAAATACCAGTAATAACTTTATTGAAGTAGCTACTCAGTTATTATCAACTAGTCAAGTGGAAACAATACAGACCTAACTCCTGAACCACTGTTCTTTAATAAGCAATTAATTTATGGAAGAAACAAATTACTTACACTTGGTGTATATACATTGAGGTAAAGACAGTCCTCATCTCCAATAACTTGATCTGAAGAGTCAAGTGAGTCAATTTGAAGACACGGAGATCCCTCATTCATGGCATCCAAGATTTCATCGGTGTCATGCATGGGTAGTGGTTCCTAAAAACAAAATAAAAGCATTCAGTAAAATTAATATACACAATAACTTTCATATGCTCAAAGTTACTTTTAGTCCCTATTTACCTAAGAGTTTATACACATACAACCAAACCCAGATTTTTATGTTTAACAAAAAATTTTTAAACATTAAATTAAGTTTAAAAAAAAAAAATTTATACCAGATAGGTGTACATATATACAGGTCTTTTTAATTTAAACTAAGTTAAAACATGCTTAATAATCTACCAACTGGTTTCTTGAGGATTAGTGTGGTTTTAAGTCCAGTCAAAAGGGGAACAGAAAGTAATACGATATTCAACTTTGCCATCACAAATTTCCCAGGATATATAAAAATGAATGCGAAAAGCAACCGAGTTAATGAATTCAGTAAATTCCCAATTAGAAACTAAAAACATTTTATTATGTAACAGAATAACGTGATAAAAATTTAACCCAATTACAAACCCATAGTGAGAAATGTTAGGGAAATGTTAGAAATGTACAAAACTTCCATGAGCTTGCTCCTTAGCAATGCCCTGGAGCCAAAACAAATTTGGACTACAATAATCAAAAGTAAATTGGAAGCAACTGACAACTGTTTAAAATTTAGAATAGTTTGATTTTAATAATAAAATCATGGTTTTCAATGGAAAGATTTACGCAATATTTTATTTATTCGAGGCCGATGGGAAAGTCAACTTCATAAAAATGTTAAAAAGTAAATATTTCAAAGTATATTCACTATGATCACACACTATTATCAATTAAACGGTAAACCATCCAAACATCATAACAGCAGAAAACAGACTTAGGGGTTAAGTTTTAATCTTATAACATCAACAGCTAATAAAATTACCATAATCAGCAACTAATAAGTAATAAGAGAAAGAAATTCCAAAGACAATATTTTTCTGTGGCTTTCAAAAAATAGTCATTTAGCTTATTTAATTCATTTATGTTAGGTTTCTGGGTAGATAAAGAATGAAATAAAATCACCATCTACTTCAAATTGATTTTCTAGCATTGACTTGAAGAACTGAATTCAAACGAAAATTACTACAAATTCTATAATACAGAAATTAAATTTGATGTAAAATATTGCTCTCATCCCTTAACTGTCAAATAAGTAAAAGGGACTACAAATAAAATAAAACAAAAAGGAAATTTCCAAATACTTTAAACAAGGCTCTATAGCAATCATTGGTCATTTCAAATATATTAATTTGAGTTACAATAATTAATTATATAAACTACTTAAATATAAATTTTACAGCTTATATTTTATATTAAATAATAATGATAATGACATTAAAATGACAAAAAGTATGAAAGAAAAAAGGGATTAGGAATAATATTTAAAACAAATGGTGTGAAAACTTTACAATAAAATAATTCAAGAATTTGAAGTAAAAAAAACTTGTTTCATCATTTCTTCTTATTCAGATTAAATATATAGATTTAACAATAAAAATAAAATAAAATATGAATATAGTAATTATGCTTCATTAAATTCATAATTGTATTAATCTAATTAATTCAAGAAAATTCAACATTTTAGATTATTCATTTCTTATTAATTACAATTAATACATGTGAACACAATTATAATTTGCAGTGGATTTGATAGAAGCAATTGTTTCAAAAAATATTTAATTTAGAAGAAAATTATGAATTGGCATCATTGTGACATCAATTAAATACTTTTAATTTTAGTTTGATTTAAATAATTCTAACAGAAACAAAAACTTAGTGCAACACATGGGCCACAAGCTCCAGAAAATTGATAAGGGAAGAAATAATATTTTGCCGAATGCGAATTGGACACTGTCTTTTCACACACGAATACCTTCTTAAGAGGTCTCAAAGCGCCAACCTGACACAAATGTGACAATATACCTCAGACAGTTAAACATTTATTACTAGAGTGCCCCCAATATGAAAAAAAAAGACAAAAATTAAAGTTTTCGACGACGTTGAAAGATATTTTGGGTGACAAGGAGGAAGATGTCATCATTCTCTTTCAATATTTATCGAAAACAAATTATTATAACAGGATAGAAAAATTAAGAATTACCGCCAATGACTCACAAGGGTACAGGCTAATACAAATAAAAAAAAAAAAATAATTTCCTCGTTAAAAATATTTCTTTGACACAATATAATTTACTTCCATATTATGCCTCAGTATTACAGATTAGGCCTAGAAGCGGTTTGGACCATGATCGAACATTCTTTGTACAAAAACGATTAGCTATATGATGTTAAATAAGAAATATAAAAATCTTTCAACTTACAAAAAAAAATGTTTTTAACTGTTGCTTCAACAATATGAATTATTGAAGGATCGAGTGAAAAAATAAGTAACATTTTTTAGCTTTTAAAAATATATATTTAAATTTCATATATCAACTAAAAGGTCTGATGTGTATGTCAAAGAACAACTCAATCAACTCGGTTAAAAGATAAATATTGAATTTTTGTGAATGAAAGGAAGAATTCTTTTTTTAAACCATTTTTCTCAGCAATAATTCAATTTTTTCCCCACAAAATGTCACTTATTACCTTTTTACTTCAACAAACAAAATTTGAACAATATTGTTTTCCCTCAAAAGTTATTGAGTATGTCTCGAAAAACTTACAGAACAGGGGGGTAAAAGAATTTTTCGGCTTTATTTTAATCCACTGATTGTTTATTTTGAACTGAAATTGTTTTAAAATCATTTTTACTATTCCTGGTAAGTCATAAAATCTGAAGACGGACTTGATATTAAAACGGTAAAGGAAAGTAGAAAATAACGGCATATAATATGTCTAAAAGCCTCGAACCTTTAAGTTCAATGGCAAAGTAAAGAACAGAATTTCCGCTTTGACTGTGGAAACGTGTTTCCTGAGCAAGGAAATGACCTCATATTACCTCTACAGTTATCGTTTGCAAATTTACTTTAAAACAGTAACCATCCGTATCATTATACATTATTAATTATTATTCTCAATATCTATGAATTTATACCAATGAAATAAAATAATTTTGTTAGTTCAACAAACCAAATTCAACCATACTTAAAGTATGTTCAGTATGAACTGAGTGTACAGAATACTTAGCGTTCTAATATACGCAAAGACGTGACGTCTTTTAGAACTTAAATTCTTGAGGTCGACGGCATAGTGGAACGACGCTGAAAGCATCGAGCTGCAACAAAAGCAGAGCGAGGAAAACAAACACATACATTTCTATAGTGGCACGGATATTGGAGTGATGTTGTAGGCGCCAGAGAGCGCTGCTTCCATAATAGCATAGCGTTGAAACTTGCCACTCTTCTAAAAATGAGTATTGAACAACAATTAAAACATCTTATCATGATGGTTTATTAAGAAGCAGTAGTAGAAACAACAGAGCCGACAACACCGCAAAATATTTGTGTTGGAAAAATGTGCGACGAGGTTGCCAATGCACTGAAAACAAGTATAAAAGCACTTATTATTTATAAAATTTAGTTAATATTACAAATAATTGTGTATCTAAATAATTACTTGATAAAAGCAAGTGGACACAAATGAGCAAGACGACAGCCGAAAGAAAAATTGGTCGAAGTGAGCGCTTGCAGCCCTCGCTCTACCATGCCGTGGGCAACTCATTGCTTGTTGCATTTCCCGCTGCTCGATGCCTGCAGCGTCAGTCCACTATGCGGTTGGCTTTAGATTTAAAAGCGAAGAATCAGGGCCAAGGACACTTGACAGTGGAATCTAGATATTTTTCCATCCACATATCTCCACATTGCAATTAAATGTAACTTTTTTTATAAAAGGGATGCACAGAACAGCAAATAACTCTAGGAGTATTTATGTGATCCAAAACATTACTAAATTAGGCATATGAAATATTCAAAAACCAACAGGTTTGTAATGCGCTTATTTGGTATAACTACCAGACGAGAAAAAAAAAAAAAAATCACGTAGATTTGAGACATTAGTCCAAATCTTTTCAATAACCAAAACTAAAAACCAAATTGGTACAATAGATCAATATAATAATTTTTGGGGAAGGAGTTGGTTGATCGGAGGGTGCGGTCAAATAAATACTAAATTATAAAAATAGTATTAAGTTATTACGCCTACGTTTCGACCCACCTTGTAGGTCTATGTCATGTAGCAGGTACATGGTGAAAATAAAATAAATGAATGTAAAGTAGATATGAAATAAGAAACAGTTACCTAATAAAGAAATAATAAGATCAGAGATATAGTGGATGACAATGTAGTTAAAATATGAAGTATTATATAATTATATATAAATAAGATACAAACAAAAATGGAAAATAAGTATGAATAAAAATAGAAAAAAAAAAGAGAATATAGCATGTGAGTTAAAAGTAAACAAATATTAAAAGTAAACAGATGCTTTCTATTTTTATTTGTATCTTATATATATAAGGGGGTTGGGGTAGCCGTATGGGCTAAGGTGCTTGCAATGGGTAATCAAACTTAAGGAACGTCGAGCGTGGTTAGTACTTGGGGTAACCGCCGTGTGTGTGCGTGTGCGTGCGTGTACACATATACAGATATACAGAGTGCCTCTGATTTTAATGGCCAATCTCTCAGTGGTGATCCTAGACAAAATCTTCAACATAAAAGTACATTTAATTCACGGACCGATTTCGAACGGGAAAAGGAGTCAAGTCGAATTTCGTGTTTTCTTAAGGTGATCACGTTTTCTCTTTAATAGAAAGCTACTACATAGAAATTATTTAATTTGGATAATTGACACAAATAATTGAATGGTAAACTAGACAAAATTTTCTTCGCCAAAACCATTTAAGGAGATTTTAAAGCGGTTAAAACTACATTAAGTTGTGATTTTCATTAAATCATGGATTGTTCGCGATGTTTTTCATCATCCAAAAACTACACTACAAATACCATACATTCTAACATCAACAACCCAAGGATCCTTATCAATCTCATATTTCATGGCTTTGAACAAAATATTATCAATACGTATT